CACATGATTTTCATATAGACCCGTGCAATAAGTAAACGAAAAAAGCACGGGTTGTTACATAAGACCCGTACGATAAATTATATAATCACATGCTCAATTTGATTGGCTATTCATATAGGGTCGCCATGACGACCTGTCATCATAAACTAATAGTTCCCTTATTTTAAAATATACAAGTGAATCTTGATATATCGAAAGTTTAATTAGTATTTCTTATGTCTTATATCAAGAGTCACTTATATTTAGAATTTATAAAAAATTTTAAACAAATTGTTTACAGTTTAAGGGATAACTAATAATACACTACAGTAGATTGTGTTTCTTTAATAAATGTTATTTTTTTAAAAAATTTTTTATCATCTTTATATTCAAAAAAGTTTAAAAGTTGCTTGTAACTTAAATTTTTTTACAAATTTTATTATGTCATCATTATTGCACGAATTGTAAAGGATTTTTTTACATTACAAATACTATTAATTATGTGTCGTTAATTGTTACGATTGTTGTAAATGTTTAATTCACAAATTCGCGTGATAAGAAGTCTACAAGATCAAAAATGTATATAATATACAGTAATAACCTTAAAAAAAAAAAAAAAAAAAAAAAGCGAAATGATACTATAAATTTATATCATGTAAAAAAGAAATTTTATTCACAGATGAAAATAAAAAGGCTATACACTTGCAATCAAATATTTATATAAGATAATGTTACAAAAGATAAATGATAGCATAGGAATGTTCAAAAAAATGTTTTTATATACAAGGGAATCCTATATTGCTTCTCTTAATTCTCGTTCTTTCTTGACCCAATCCATCATCCCTTGTCCAATGTTAGTAACAGCTGAATCAACTGTTACTACCACACGTTGTCTTAACTCCAAGGCTACAGGTTCATATTTTGTATATATATCTATTAAAAATGCTCTTGATGCGTAAATTTGATCTGACATGACTTCTAAAATTAATGGTATAAACCATTGCAGATATGCAGTCACAAAATTATAAATAGTAGTATAAAGAACAGTAATTTGCTCCTGTACAGTTGAGAAGATAATATTGAAGTAAGGTAACATTGCATAATACGCTGATTCAGAAACCTTGAAAACTATGGATATAGACTGTCGTGAAAATTGTAATGCGTGGATCAACATAGTGTTCGCTAGTGAAATTAACCATTTTGCAAATCGTAACAATGCGAAGATAAGCACCAATATAACAGTTGTGTAAAAGAAGCTTAAAGTTGTGATAACAGGCCGTAATAATAGCTTAAAGGTTTTCCATACAGGAACAATGATATTTAGTAGAAATTCCTTAACGTGTTTGTATATTGAGTTTGTGAGATGTTTAACAACCGGAATGATATTGATGAAGGGTAAGATGATGGCGTAATACATCCAGGATGAATATACAATAATGTCCATACAGGTAATATAAAAATCTTGAATAATTTCTAGACCACATCTTTTAATACGTTTGACACAAATTGGTAACGCTAGCTTCGACATTTCACGAAGTCGAGAAAGATAAGATACCAACGAATTATATAAAATAGGTGATATGGATATGGAATATTCAACTACAAGACGGAATGTTTTGTTGGAACCGACCCCATAAACAACGTTAAAGATATTGTTAATGCCAGATAGGACAACCCGAATATATAGGAATCGTCCAATAGTTGAATAATGTTCATATACTTTATGATACAGGAATATTGCAGAGTGGTAAATGGAATGAACTAAAGGAATAAGTATGCGATTCCATAGTGTCATAGAAATCGACCACCCTAAAATAAGAAGATCTCTCACATCTTCAGCAATGTCTCTAATAAGGAAGCAAGCACAATACCATGAAATTCTTGCAAGATATTTAATTCTTGAAACGATCCATATTCCTGGCTCAATGATCAAAGTGACAAAAGCCCGTGACATAAACATCATCAAGGGACAACCAAAATCATTCCACCCTATTATGGATAGTTCTATCAAGCGATGAAATGAGTATACTATAATTTTTTTTCCTTCATCAAAAACTGTAGTGCTAACGGTCCAGCATGTAATGGTTAGTTGTTTGGCTACTGGCCAACAGTATTTACACATCCAATCGTGCGTTATTTTTAAAATTAATCTCCAAATTGAAAGAATCATTGCACATATATCAGGGACTTTCTTTACGCAAAAAATAATGTAATTACCTAACATTATTGAAATTGCTTCCGCATAGTCTAGTGAATAAAATACGAACAGCCTGAACATATCTAATGCTAATTTTAATGCTAGATACAGAATAGCGAAAGGAAGGAAGGGAATGTAAAGTAATAGATTTCGATTAGCATGACCGATTTGTAAGGATCGAGGCTCATTTCCATGCTTTTTTCTTGAACGAGTAAAAAAGGCATGTCGAATGCGTCGCCATATTGGATATTCTCTGATAGCAACATACAGGTACAATATTATTATGATCAAGTAAATTGTTTTCAAAGTATATCTTACGAATCGTTTCTCTTCTACTATGGTATTGTCTATTATGGTATTTTCTTCTGTTATATTTTCTTCTGCCATTATGATTCTTATAAGTGTGAAGCGCCAAAATTTTAACTTAGTTATTTCTTAAGTTAATATTAACGTTAAATACTGAAATATAGTAAATGATTTCATGGTACATTTGTACCACAGAAAATCTATGGAAAATGTCATTCACAAAATCCAGAGGTTACGGAGTATATTCACCGGAAATTCACCACGACCGAATTATTGGTGAGGCCAAGACTGAGATCAAATTTCCAAATTTGTACGTATAATAAAACAATTTACCGTTAGCTAACGTAATGTTCTTAATCGCTCATAACGTATTATGAAAAAGCATTGGTGTTTATCTTGCACTTTATGAGCAAGATCAAATTTAAGAACATTATCTTGAAGAATATAATTTATATCAATTAAAAAAAAAAAAAAAAAAGAACACAATCCCAATAAGAGGACAATTATTACGACATTCTGAAATTTCTTAATTTCTTTTGCGTTGTCTATTAAATTTTATTATTCACCCGCAGTATATCGTCAACATCTAATACGTACGTACGTACGTACGTACGTATATTTACCAAAGACCCAAAAGTTTCGATTGTGCGAACTTGCTTAGTCATTTAGAAGAGGACAACTGATTTCGTTGTACAGACTTAAATCTACATATCAATGTAAATGATTGGCTGATACGAAAATGTGAAATAATCCTTATTTTTTTTACTGCGGTAATTTTACAAATTGAGTTAATTACTTTGCAGCCAAAAAAAAATGGCCGAACAAAACGAAGGAATCCAAACTGTACAAAATCCTGATGTCGTCCAAAAATACCAAATGGCGGCAGAACTTTCGAATCGTATGTTCTCTGTCGTTATCAAGCTCTGCAGTATAAGTTCAAAGTGAACAAAACTTAGTAAACGTTCATAAAACACGTAATTGTTAGCCCTGTTAGCCATATGTTGAGCCTTGAAAAAATTTTTTTTATATTTGAAAAAAAATTTTTTTAAGAGTCAAATAACAATTAAAACTTTTGTCATTAAATAGTTTAATGAGATCTCTTCAAATATTTAAAGTCTGGGGGACGCTTGCATTTTGTGTCACTTTTTTCGTGCGGTATTGTTTGATGCGTGAACTTTGATCTTTTTTATTATTTAATAGGCGTGCTTAAGTTGGTTATTGATTCCGCTGTAGATGGTGCAAGAATATTGGATCTTTGTGCATTAGGTGATAAATCAATAGAAGATGGTGTGAAAAATCTTTTTGCGAAAGCTAAAAATATCTCCAAAGGTAATATTTAATACATTACTATCCAATTTCTCCAATTGAATGAATATTTTAGTTAATCATTATATAAATTTATATTTTAGGAATTGCTTTTCCAACTTGCGTTTCCGTCAATCATATTATCTGTCATTTTTCTCCGTTATCATCTGACCCTGAAGGATCTGATGTATTGAAAAATGGTGATTTAGCAAAAATTCAATTAGGTGCTCAAATTGATGGTTATGCTTCAATCGTGGCCACTACTATTGTTGTTGGTGCATCTAAAGACAAACCTGTCAAGGGTAAATTAGCCGATGTCATAACCGCTGCTCATCTGGCATCGGAGGCTGCCTTGAGGTTAGTAAAACCTGGTTTATCCAATAACAAAGTAACCGAAACGATACAAAAGATTGCTAAATCTTTTGATACAAATTCTGTTGAAGGTAATCATTTAAAATTACTAAGTGAATGCGTTTTTATTTACTTAATTTAATTAATTAATTATTTTATTCATAGGAATGTTATCATATCAGCAGGAAAGAAATGATATTGAGGGTAAAAAACAAATTATTCTCAATCCGAATGAAGCTCAGAAACGCGACTTTGAAACTGTACAATTCGGCGAGAATGAAGTATATGGTATTGATATCTTGATCTCAACTGGGGAAGGAAAAGTAAGAAAATCTATTCCTCAAATTTTTTAATACATTATTATTCTTCTTATCATATATATACATCTTTATTACAGCCTAAGCCTTCTTCTGTCCGTACTACTGTTTATAAAAAGACTGGAAATACATATTCTTTAAAGATCAAAACATCACGTCTCATATTTAATGAGATTAGTCAAAAATTTGGCACTTTTCCTTTCCCCCTGAGAGCGTTGGAAGATGAAAAGAAGGCTAGATTGGGTATAGCTGAATGTGCAAGTCACGCATTAGTGACACCATATGATGTGTATCAAGGAAAAGAAGGTATGTAATATTTCGTTACATTAAGATTTATTATATATATAATTCATATATAATTTAATTCTATAATGCTTTTTTTTTTTATAGGAGATTTTGTGGCACAGTTCTTTAATACAGTTCTTTTAACCAAAAATGGATCAATTAAAATTACAAACACATTTTACGATCCAGAGATTGTTCAAAGTGATAAAAAAGTGGAAGATGAAGAAATTCTATCTCTGTTGGCTACCAGTTTGCGACCAAAGAAGAAAAACAAAAAGAAGAAGGACGATAAGAATGCTTCAGATGCTACTGAAGAAAAAAAGGATGAAACTGAAACTGCGGACGAATAATAAAACTCGTATAATAATTATATGTAGTGTTATTTTTATTTATCAATAACAATGACAAGCATGGTATAGTGCATGTTTATGTTTTTTTTTTTTTTTGAAACACTCAATTGGCAAAGTTGTCAATTCCATTTTTGCAAATAAAAATATGTCATAAAAATATTCGACTAAATTAAATCTAAAAAAAATTACATCCATTTACAAAAATTTAAAAATTCCAACAAATGTCTTTTTTCAAATATGATTTATAAAAAGATATACATTAATCGTACCAATCTAAAAACAATAAAACAAAACTCGCTAATATTAAAAATACAAGGATCCATTTTCTTGTATCAGAAGCCCTTTGTCTAGCTTTTGTTAACATTAAATTTCCTTCTTGAACTCTGTCTGTGATAGCAATAGCCTCAGCATATAGACGATCTGTTTGTTGAGTTTGTACAGCCAAGTGATTAGATAGGACGGATTGTAAGGTTGAGATTTCCAATAATGCTTTTTCTGCTTGACTATTTCAATAAAAATTATTAATTTCTAGCCATTTTTTCAAAATTAATAAATTTGAATATTACATACTTCACTTGCTCTAATGTAGTAGCTAATTCCTTCATCATAGATTCATTTTCCCTTTCTAGTACCATTTTCTGCTCTGCAGATAAGTGCTGTTCAATATCATAATCACTTTCTATATTACTGTTCATTTCATTATCAGATTTCGTAGGTGTTTCTGATTCTTCATTTATTATAGTTTGAATTACTGATGATGGCCGTGAAGGAGATTTTGATTCTATTGGTTTATATAACGTGCTGTTTTGTGAGTTAAACGTGAGATACAAAAAAGTTAAGCATATTAATGAAACATAAAAGCCCTCAAATTAATCAATAGTTCATACCTTTCGCGTTTCTCAATTTCCTTCATTATCCTAGTTTCTTGTTGATCCTTTTGAATTTTCGAAACTTCGGTTAATCTCTTATTTAAAAACCATGTGATACTGCTTCGTATTGCGGCCAACACATCACGTTCGTCAGAGGAAAAAATGGTTAATAAAATATTAGTCCATGTATTATTTGCAATTGAACTTTGGCGAACTAAAAAATAATATAAATATAAATCATTAAACAAAAATATTGTCTAAAACTACTGGATGGTTTTATGATACTTACCTTGTTCGGTTCCTTCCAATTCTTTTATTCTGTTAAGGCATTGTTGAATTATTGTTTTTGCGTGTAGGTCGATTTCGTCACGTTGTTTATCCGTTAACGTCGTTATGGAAGGATCGATCCGTGGTGATAATCCTTGATCCAAATTGTCTTTAAGTAAAAACGTGGGACTGGTACTATATTTAAGATTTGAAGGATTCTGTCTTGATACGTTCAAATAAGCCTTTCTAATCGAGAGAAGGAAGGTTTTAAGGTTGTTTATATGAAAGGCCTACGTTGGTAAGAGTTGAAAGAAAAAAATATTTGCTTTTTACCCGGAATTAAGAATTAAAATGCTCGATTTAATCTGTAATATATACTCACTATTCGATAAGCTTCCTTCAAGAATTCATCTTGCACTTCCCGTACATTCTTTTTGACTGGCGGAAGAATATCGATGCGTTTTTTTATGCCGTTCTCTGTGCTTGAGGCTGAAATTTCATTAACTAATTTGCGAAAGTCGGGTGTAAGGTCAACCATTTTTTTTTTGAATTAACATTATTAAATAGAACTTAGCGTTAGTGTATTAAGAGTAACACGTGTAAAAACTAAAGTATAAATAAGTCAATTTCACGTGTACTCCACATATTGCTGTATTACGCATATTCTATTAACAATGACCATGCTCTCTATCGCAAACCGTACGGACGAGAAAAATAAATCGACTTCGCCTTTACAGCCGACCAATAATGAGCTTTCAGTAACGTATCCAAATACCAAATCTGACCGTTCAAAGTTCATAAATCCTAAAACTGGTAGAATCATAACTGAATTTCAGTATAAAGTTTATGATTTATGTGCACAGGTTTGTTTAATGTTTTCGGCGTGTTCAACACGTTTACAATTTTATCACCATACCCACGATTAATAATTGTCGCGGATCATAATTTAAAATGAAATCTACCTTCTAAAACCCACTTATACTTGTTTATTATAACTTCACTTTAAAACTAACCCCTAACCCCTATCCCTAAAAAATGCACCCAAAAAAAATTTATTTTTCGAGATTTTTTAGATTAATATTTAAAACACCAATCAAATTTTTTAATTTTTATTTGCAAAAAATTTTCTTATGAAAACAAATTTATAAACTTTAAATTTTTTGATCTTAATAATATTTATATTATTGTTTATACAGATTCCTGAAGGTAATAATATTTATGTTCGGTTTGTCGCGTAAATTCCGTTCTAAATAATCTTAAAATAGGTTTTGTATCAACCTATAAATTACTGGCAACTGCACTCAAATCATCCCCTCGTGCTGTGGGTGGTGCTCTAAGAGTTAATCCATTTGCACCTTCGCCTATACCTTGCCACCGTGTTATCGCCTCTGATTTTTTTATTGGTGGATTTGACGGTGAATGGTTTAAACGTCAGCATCAAAACAATACTAAAAAACGTAATGATGATGATATTATGGAAGATAAAATTGGTTGTAAGCTTGATAGATTAAAAAAAGAAGGAATTTTTTTTGACAAGGAGGGTTGGTTGGTAGATTGGCAGAGATCTAAAAATGTGTTTTCCAATTTTAATATATAATGACATATCGACCACAGATATCGACGTCTTATTAAACAAAATACAAGTCGACTAAAGATTTTTATCTATTTGATTACTTGTCAACAGAGTTCTTGATAGGTGCGCCTGTTGATACGACGCTAAACAAATTCACATATACAGCACGTACTAATGTACTATATATTTCATCACTCCAAATAACCTACTGCACAATTTGGAAACTTTTCTGTGCGGTAAATAAAGAAAAATTATGAACAACTACAGTCAACTTTCTCTATTCCGAACAGTCCGTTCTTATATGTAAAAATAACAAAAAGTTCAGTTCTTAAAGTTTTACTATGTTGCTGATCCGAACTTTATAATAACTTTTAAAAATCTGAAGCTTTGTGTTCGGTTTTTACAGAGTTTATTAAGAGTTCAGATTATCCAGGTCCGTATTTGGAAGAGTTGACTGTATTTACTAAAGTGCGCACTACTTACAAAATGTTAAGAAAATGTGCGCAAAATTTGTTTCTGTGTACGCACAGTCCGCACAGCGAAAAATAATCACTGATCCTATCTTCTAGGACTTGTGAAAATTCTATGGTTCAACAGGGCTCATGCTGTAAAACCGAACTTTTTGAAACTTAAATAGATCTTAAGAACCGGTTATTTATCGTTATAGCGATAGCTATATACTAAACAAATAGCTAATCAAAGCCTCTGTTTAAAAGGAAATTGGAGTTAGGTAATTGAATTGTAGCAATTATTTGAATCAATAATAAAAATGATTAAATTGATGTGGATAAAGAAAATTCTCGAGGGTTTTAAGTCAAAGTTTGAATTGATCGATAATACGTATAAAAGATAAAGCCTGAATATACTGAATAATGAATTAACTACGTATATTGATTACACTTATTTGCGCCTTGCATTCATTGTTTAGAACAAAATTAAATAGAAGGTAGGATTACGAGCAGGTTTATTGTGGCATGAATCAAAAGCATAAGGCCATACAAACTTATATTTTCGGTTTTCATATCACTGGCTGACCTCTCATGACCCGCCAACCCGGATTTTAATTTTTTTTTTAAAAAAATTTTTTTTACAACCATTATTATTATTCCTATTCCGTCGATTTGATAAATTATTGATTTCGGTATAATTAATGTCCGAACTTATCATTTGGCGTTTTTGTGTTATGCAATTTCACTTTGTCTACAATCCCTCTGATTATCGTATTTGTTTAATTGTTACTTTAATATCAAGTTTAACTTGAGCAGAATCGGTTTGAGGCAAATCTAAATAAATAATAT